TTCAAGAGCGCGTTCGATCTAGTCGATCGATCCATTATGTTCGAGATACTTGCGCGGAAAGGTGTTGCCGTGAAATATGTGAACATCCTACGTGCTCTGTACTCGAACACAACAAGTCTCGTCAGCGTTTACTGTGATTTATCAGACGTCTTTCTGACAACAAGTGGCGTTCGTCAGGGATGTCCAAGTTTTTCATTTTTGTTCCATTTCGTCGTGGACTCTATCATAGTGTTCCCTCGCGGAATCTCACGATGCAGGGGTTGAGGTGCTGCAAGGTGAAAGGCTAGTTGACCTTCATTGTGCGGAGGAGATTGTCTTGCTGTTTAACGATCTTGGGGCGGCGCAATCAACCCTGAATAATCCGTGTAGATTGGTTCCGATAGTTGGTATGCACTTCGCACCTTCAAAGTGCAAAGTGTTGCAGCAGGACCACCAGCCACTCGATGACCACTTGACCCTTGATAGCGAGGAACTTGTGGTAGCGGATCAATTCACTTACTTGGCAGCTGTATCAGCAACGATGCATGCATTAGCTACTGTGGTCAGTTCACGAACTGCAAAAGCCAGATTTGCTTTTTTGGATCCGCAACACCTTTGGCGACAGAAAGGGGGTTCCTTCCGTCCGAAAAGCCGTGTTTACAAAGCAACAGTAAGGGCTGCCTTCCTGGAGAGGAGTGAGACTTGACCACTTCGGTCTGAAGATCTGAGGCGCCTTCAAGTCTTTGATCATCGTTGTCTACGGAGCATTGTTAGTGTCGGGTGGCACCAGCTTGTCCGCAACGATGATGTGCGTAGGCGAGTGTCAGGCAGTGATGCTCAAGAACTTAGAACAACAGATAAGACTGAATAAGTTACGTTGGCTTGGGCACGTGTTACGTGTGTTCTGGTCACCGCTTACCTAGGAGCGCCTTGTTTAGTCTGCCAGATGTAGGGTGTCGCAAAGTCCGAGGTGGACGTAAGTTGATTTGCCAGCAGGAAATGAAGTCACTGACGACCAAACTCGGTGCCGTTGGTCCGTCTCGCCTTCCAGGCTAAAATCCACGTGACTCGTCTTGTGTTTGGCTCGAGACTTTACAGGACATGGCTCGTAAGCGACACCAGTGGCGCGTCTGCTGTCGTCTCCTAGTCGGAAGTGTTTTGTGCTAAGTTAGCTGCGGGGTAATGGCTAATTATGACGCGGGGCAGCGAAAGCCGCAACACAGCCGTCTCGCTGATGCCACCTTATCTTTGTGCGATAGCCAGCTGTCTGTGATGGTATGTGGTTGACAAGGTGTACGCACATTGACCCTGAATGTTTGCTTAGGGCATTAAGATTTTCCGGTAAGTCCCCCATCTCTCCTTGTTATTATTCTTCGTTGCTTAGATTGTTATGGTTGTATGGCAGCGAAGCATCATTTCAAATGGCTGGTGTACTGTTGTTGATGATGATGAGAACGTGCAATAGGCATCAGTCTCATGCAGCTTGCCTCAGTCAACGAGCCGTCTCGCTGAGTGCGGCAATGTCGATCCCGTTGCGCACGAGTTCCATGGCGGCCAATGCAGTGCGTCGCTTGGGTCGCTCACTCGTGTGCCGGTCATGTAGTGTGCTGCATCGGTCGTCGCAAAGGGGCACTAGGAAAAGGACCGCCTTATCTGCTGCACACAGTGGGGTGGATGAGCGAATACATGCTACCGCTGACGCATCCATTCTTTCTTCGCCTACATATACTCACCCCATTCCCGTTCAACTTAACTAACTATTTCCTCCAATCCGGGTGCAATTGTCCGCCACCGTAATCGTATGTCTCGCCGCAAAGCGCTCAACATGGGGTGGTGGAATGTGCGCACATTATTCGAACGGCTAAGCAACCCCAGCGACGTCCTGCATTGGCAACGATGGAACTTGTGCGCTTCGGGATCGACATTGCCGCACTCAGCGAGACTCCGCTCGCTGACCGAGGCAAGCTGTATGAGACTGCTACTGGTTAATCGTTCTACTGGAGGCAGATCGCCAACTCAGCACCATGGGTCGGATTTGCACTATCCGACCGTCTAAATGGCTAGCCGGTGACAGAGCCGACTGGCATCAGCCCACGAATTATGACTATTCGACCGTGACTTCGAAGAGGAAAATTTGAAGCACAGTGTTCCCTGTATGATCCTAAACAATGCAAAGAGAAGATGGATGTTGTAAGATGATATCATATTCCGAGACAAATTTACTTGTTTATTTTCCTTCAAACTCTATGTTTGCTGTCTGATATCCCCGGTGTCGCTGCGCTAGAGGTGAGTGGTGATAAGGTGACTAACAGTCGAAAACACGACATTTCCATTATACTGGCTCTAGAAGACTGTTAATCGTTGCTTGGAACCATGACCGTGCTAGACTCAGTACAGTTCCATGCATCTACGGTTTTGTGTACGTCTGGTACGCTTGATACCACAATTAGACTTACTGGAACGTTGCTGCTGTGCATGTTGACTGTGTGGGCCAGCACCGTTGATGAAACGCGGGTCCCATCCAAATGCCCCCCGGTATAACTCCTTCGGGTTTACACTGGATATGGGGTGTGCGGATGCAGCTGTGAGTGGTGCAGCGCAAGCCATACTTGGTTCCTCTGTAGATGCAGGCATCCAGTGCCTGTCCTATGGAGGCCGCTGTGAGAGACAAATCCGGAACCGTATGCAGCTAACCATAGATATTTACTATGTTCGCATTAAATTAGACGTCTTGTAAACCAATTCAGGCGTTTTGCAAAATAAATTGGACATTTTGCAAACCGAATTGGACACGTTACATTCTAAGCAGAAAATCAGTAATTTGTAAACAAGAAATGATGAGTGGGGCGACTAGACGATGTTCAGACTACATCGTAGTCATGCTATTGCAACCGAATTGTGTAAGCAGCGAGTGTCACTGCAAACCATTCTCTTGATCGTGAACCTCGATCATCTGGACCAAAGGCAGCGACTGAGTTTCCCCTCTCTCCCTACCGGACTTTGTGTAGTGTATGTGCTTGCGCCTGTACACATGAACTTGTGTAGCTGTGTGACTATTGGAAAGTCAGATTCCCGAATCGCGTAGTTCGTTATGACTTAAACAAATGTCACCCTCATTTCAGCGCCAGTCATGAGCAGGCAAATCAAGAATATAAAACTGAGGCCAAGGTTTTCTGCGTGTACAACTTTTCTTGTTAGTGTCGAGTAAGTTATATTGAGAATACGATCAGACGACTGTTCAAAAGAGTCCAAAAACACTGCTCAGTGTGGCTCTATGGTGGCGTGAAGAAGTCAGGGATGAGAGCAGAGCTACCGTACTTGCACGACTCAAATCATCCAATTAACGCGCAAGAGGCTTTTCAGTCCACCTATCGGATATCGGGAGGTCACAGGCAAGCGATCAGATGTCACTTGTAAATGACGGTACAGGCGATCTCTATTCGGCTTCACAACCCAGACCCACGTGCACAAAAGGACTGCGTCCAAGCCAACCAACTACTATGGCCACAAACCACAGAATCTAACAACGAGGATTGTACCATCTCCCACAATCTTGCTTTAAAAAGCGCGAGCACATATTAGGCTACTCCTTTCGTTGATTCATTACATAGGAATATCCTGTTAGCTTTATTCCTATCTATCTGCTGTGGTGTAAAGGCCTGATGAGGATCAGCGAAAACACACTTTGCGCTTAGCTAAGGTTTGGTTTGGTTTACCTATAAACTTGCCGCATCTCGAATGTGAGACGTCCTTGAAGATCGGCACGATAACGGAGCAAACCCAATCATTTTGGACAGTTTTCTGATCTCACAGCAAATTGTCTACAAGAGCTGGTCGACCGAATTTGAAGAAGGTCGGAGGTAGTCCGTTTGATCCTACGGTTTTATCCAGTTTCATCAATATAAAGAGACCTTAGACTTTTGCGCGGAAGGGCGGATCCAAAGGGGCGGCCCAGCGGGTAGAGCGACAACTGACCATCAGCGAACCTGGTAGTTCCGGCCGATTAAACTGTTCTTTTTTTAATGTTTAGTCGAGTGTTCCAAGTGTTTTTACAAGTTGTAGATAAGCAATTCACATCGCATTATATAATTCCGCTAAATCCGAGTGCAGAAGAATCCCGAATGCCCTATCCTGTGAGACCTTCGTCTCGCTCAGTGATCCTCTGGCTTTGATTCCATCTATTATTTATCCAACTCTTCCTTGTCCCAAACCAATCTTTATTTCGTGACTAACGGATTATAGTTTATGCACCTAGGATGTAAGCTGCTGTACTACGGATGAAGGCGATTGCGTTAAGGTTGCAATCAATCGAGAAATGGTATAGCTGATAGCCAATAACCGGCTTCAATAGCGTTTGAGTTGTGGGTGTTCCTTGTCCCCCCTTCGCCCTTATCTTTCCCCTCCAACAACGATCTCAAAGTGCATGGATAATGTTATACTTAGCATTACATTAATTGAACTTTTAGTTTATATATTCTGTAATGTTTTGTACCTCGCTTTCTCATATATTCTAACTTTTGTATTGCGGCACAGTCAGCTGAGACGTGTTTTTCGCCTTCAGCTAATGTGTAATGATGATGAAGGAAAAGTTGAATGACAGCTTTGAACCCTCAATTGAGTCAAAGGAATGCGCACTCAGGATTGGTTCTAACCGAACGAAACGATCGACCGCCGCTTTTACTGATGTTAGTAGCCATCTTCTTCTTAAGTAAATAATAAACGAATAAGGCGCTTAAATAGGTGCACTGTTTCAGTAGAGAAAAGTATTTCCTCTGCGAGTCGGGGTAGCAAGATGAGCGATTTGTTTGCGAATACTGATGTGACTCGCATACTACAACCATTGGAACGCTGTATGTGAACCAGGAAAGATTATCTAATGCATGATAACTGTCCCCCTGACTGCTTTGTCTATAACGCTGCCGAGATCGTTCATTGGAAGTATAATTAACATAAAATTTAGGCTATCAAAGCGAATTCAAACAAGCTGTAGGTATTGAGTTGTTCCAAGATATCTAACTTACGTGACAATTGGGTGACCGAAGATCCCAAAGACGAATCGTACAGTCCATAGATCCAGATAAAAAAGTGTCGTCGATAGGCGACATGCAAAGGGAAACAACCCTTAAAAAAGTTGACCGAAATGAAGCGCGTACTTTTTCGTGTGACTTTGGAAATACCGTATGTATTTGTTGTCGTGAAGTGACAAGTAGCGAATCGTGTCTGTAGCAGAGTTAGGGAAAAAGAAGAAGCGAACCATCGACTTTGGTAGAAGCGTGAATAGCTGTTGTCGGACTGTGAGTGAACTGAATAAGATTGACACCGTACTTCTTACTATTCAGTGTTCGCTTCGGTCTAAAACGTAAGACAATACGAAGAAACTTACGTCCCGCTAGTACAATCATACATAACCATTTGATCATCATCGCTGCTTGATATCAGCGTCTCGCCATTACTCGAATAACTAAGTGAGTTGATTCGGTCAAAATTTTCCTTGAAATATTTAACAGGCTTAAACGTTTTCATTGCCGTGTCCGTCAATTTCATATTTTTGATTTGTACTGGTCACTCAAAAGGTGTAAAAGCGACACATTGAAACAGATGAGAGTAGTCATGTAAGTAAAGTGCAACAATGTTATGAGATCGAAGGTTGGCAAACGATAATGATAAGATGAAAGTATACCTAAGAAATGAGAATGGTACTACGGAAAAACATGCACAGTTCACCAAAGAATCAAACGCAATACCAGAAGTAAACCATATATATATATATATATATATATATATATATATATATATATGATCTAGTCTTGTATGCTGCCACACCACCTGAAACTGATTGCAATGTGGTCCATTTGAGACCAAACTTGTGACGGTGGAGGACACCAGGTGGCAGAGCGTCTCCTCGAGTGCCTGAAGTTTGTGCTTACGAGAAATAGACTGTTGTTTTCGCACAAATTGAGAAGTCTGACTCCGTTATCTGAACGACTCTCGTTCAGTGCATTATGACCACGCAGGTGATATTCACCTGGTAACAGTCGAAAGACACATGCGTTGAAGTCTCCGGCGAGGACAATAACGTCCGGCTTGGTGGCTTTGCGTAATAGCTGATGAAGCTGATGGTAAAAAAATGTCCTTGTTCAGTTCAGAGCTACAATCAGTTGGTGTGTAAGCAGAAACTACAAACAGATTGCGACTTTCAGTACGATGTCTGAGCCTTGGGGACGAAGTGCACATACTCGACTGTTAACTGGGAACCAGTCAAGGAGTGCAGCCTCGGCTTTGTTGCTTAAAGCCACATCAACGCCGTCCAAGCCAGCGGAAGCAGCTTCTGCGTCGCCAGATAAACCTAAGTGGTATGTAACTTCTTGGTTGGTCTGAGATTTCAATTTGAACACAGTAGTTGGGTCCTATAATCGCGTTTCCGATTAACCAGCTTGAGAAAGTGGTCAGTGAAAACCCGCGTCCTCAAGGGCCGCACCGGCCTGACGGACGCAGACATCCTCGTAACAGGTGCCTAATTGTTATGAATGCTCCTGAGTCCAACAAGGAATCTCCAGCTGAAAGAATTCTGGATGATCAGACTTTCCTTAAGTGTATGCTTCCTCTTATGTTCGACGATGGCGAGCAGGGAATCAATATCGTTTCTGCTTTTCGCCTCGGTAGAAAGCATGATGAACCATCCAAATCCCGGCCCCTAAAAATCGCCTATCAAAATGAGGGCGAAGTTCGCCGTATTCTCATACAAACTTTTTGGCTAAAAGGGGAAGCTTGTTTTGTCCTCAGAGACCTCTCCCTGGAGGATCGGGTGAAAAGGAAAGAGGTGGTTGATGAAATGTGGGTTTGTCGAGCGGATGAAGAGTCAAATCACCATATTGTGGATTTTCGAGTAATCCAGAGAACTTCGAAATCAGTGAAGCCAATATTTGTCACCTCCAGACATTGAGGTTAAAAGAGGGATCATGTGTTATATGTGCTAATGTGTGTAGTCTGAAAAATAAACTAGACGAGATTCATATTGTTTCAACAGAACACTGCTCAGATCTGATGGCGTCCACTGAGACTAGGCCGATCTCGGACATTCTGGACTCAGATCTACATTCCAGGCTACCATACTTCCCGAGCTGATCGTCCTGGAGGCCGAGTTGGCAGTGTTATTCTTTACTGCCAAGTGGAACCTCGAGTCCATATTGTTGATGCTTTAGGTAACAGCGACGGAGAATGAGAGCTCCTTTGGTGTTGCGCCCACGACGGTTGGTATTATATATAGGACTCCATCGGGATCTGGTACCGGCTTGTTGGAAGCTATCAGCCAGTATGGAAGCGGAAGAGACTGTCTGACTATGAGTGACTGCAATGCCCCCAGTATCGATTAAAAACACCTTCACTGTGGACTCCCTGTTGAATCTTTTGACTATGCTTTCCTCGAATCCGTCATGAAAATTAACTTGATTCAGCGTGTTACAGCTCCTACGTGATTTCTTCCAGGCCAGACTCCTCATATCCTTGACCTAGTGCTTACACCAGCCTCATCCGATGTCATTGGCTTATCTGACCTCCAGCCACTAAGCATAAGTGACCACTGCGTTGTCACTTTCTCGTGGGCACGACGTCTCGCTGTCCATGACAAAGTTTACTTCCGAAATTTCTGGCGTGCCGATCCAGGACGCATAAAACCTGATGAGAATGCAGTCGATTGGAGCATCGCTGAACACTTAGAGCTAGAGGATGATTGGATTCAATTCCGTACCAAAGCAACCATGCTCACTAATAAACTTGTCCCAGTTTTCCGAAGAAGACCGAGTTCCAGGGGTCTCCCTTGGATTGATGTTGAACTACAATTTTGGATGACAGAGGCGGAGGATACGGGATACATACAAGAATGTACAATCGAATTCTACCTATTCTGACTAAAAAAGCGTCAGAAACATTTGTGCAGCAAAAAAACATGAGAATCACAAGAAGTATGAGTGCGATTTGGCTGCGCAATCTACAGCAAGTCCCAAGGAATTATTTTCGTATCTGAAACTGACTACCAAAGCTGGCAATTGTATCCCCGTCTTGTTCTCCTCTCGGGACAACCAATGACGTGGAGAAGGAGCATGAAGAATGCAACCTTAAGCTTGGCATCTGTCGGACAGGTCCGCCTTCCAAAATTTGGACCACGCGATTCGGACTGGCAGTGGTTAGAAACGTTGGAAGTTATGGTGCGCAAACGGCATCAGTGGTGACAGTGCTGTTCAACCGTGTTACCGATTAGTTAACGTCTCATAGAACATAACACACAAAAAATCCCCAAAAAGCGGCTTGTGTAAAACACAAGAAAGTTGCCTTCTTCATGTTGTATTTCGTTTCCCCTTTATATTTCGCAATGGTTTTGATAGCATATTTCTTGCAATCAGATTCTGAATATATATATATATATGTATATATATATATATATATATATATATATATATATATATATATATATATATATATATATATATATATATGGTTGGCGGCATTCGATTTCGAATTTACGTGTCACTGTGGCCAGCCACAGGACGCTTGCGCCTACAGAAGGACCATGGGTGGCCTGCAGTTCAACACCCACAGCTCCATCCACACCCCCCCCCATATCCAGTGTAAACCCGAAGGAATAAGACCGGGAGGCATGCAGATGGGAGCCACGTTTCATCAACGGAGCCGGCCCACACTCCTTCACAGGCAAACACAAGCACGCTGTATTTGGGGAATCAAGCGCACACAAGGCGGTAGCCAGACCGTAGTCCGCTCCACACTGAGTGCATGGAATCACCCTTCGAGACTAGCACAACGACAAGGACCGTGCATCCCGTCCCCTCCAACAACGACCAACTGTCTCCTGGAGCCAGTATGGACGAGGTAGTGGGTAATAGACAGGTAGGCACCTTGTCAACATGCACATCAAGCGCAGTCACACCTGGGATGTCAAACAACAGCAAATCACTTCAAATGACATTATCAAACAAAACACATCTGTTAAAGAATACGGCTATGCAAACATAACACTACCGTAAATCAGCAAATGAAGTAAGTTGGTTAGCAACGAATCCGTGATAAGTAAGAAATGTCCAGAAGTTACTCAAAAATTCTACAAACGCAATAAAGTTAACGAAGATAGCCACAATTAGCGTAAGCAATGCGGCCAGTTAACAGAAGATTAGTCAGGTAGGCAGAACAAACCAAATAAAGTGGAATGAAATTTATCCAGCTTAAGAAGACCTAGTTTAAGTGTAAGTTGGTTTAGCCCAACTGCGGTGAAGAAGCATCATGAATGCAACAGCAGCCTCAGCATACGGCATCAGTCTACGAATGGACATAGAACCATTAAAAACCATGGAAAGCAAAGAACGGTACAGTTATTGGAAAAAAATACCGAATACAATACAGTGAAATCCATGGTTTCGTTAGGCAGCAAGATACTACGCGGTCATTCAAGCCGAAGTAAGGTGTAGAATTAGGGGACTCTACTTCAAGTCTTTGGTAAATAGCTTTCTCACAAGGCAGCGGGGAGAATTCAGGGAATCGCGCCCATTGGGAGCTGGCGACTGAGTGCTTAGTTCGTACGCCTTTCTTTTGGTCGACTGACAAACAGGTGCCCAATCCTCCCCACCAGTCAACATGTAGTATGTTATGAATGGTTTACTAATCATCATCACCATCATCGTCAACAGCAGTACATCAGCAATTTGAACTGACGCTTCGCTGCCATACAACCATGAGGACCTATGAAATAAGGAATAAGAAGATGGAGAGAAGGAGGACTTACCTGAAAACCTTAATGCCCTAAGCAAACATTCAGGGTCAAGGCGCCTGCACCTTATGTAGACAACATACCGTCACAAACAGCTGACTACCGTGCAAAGATAAGGCGGCATCGGCGAGACAGCTTCCTTGCGGCTTTCACTGCCACGCGTCATAATCAGCCATTACCCCGCAGATAACTCAGCACCAAACACACTTTAAACAGACAATACAATTAGGAGACAGCAGCAGACGCGCCACTGGTGTCGGTTGCGAGCCATGTCCTGTAAAGTCTCGAGCCAAGCACAAGGTGAGTCACGTGGACTCCAACCCGGAAGGCGAGACGGACCAACGGCACCCAGTTTGGTAATCAGTGACTTCATTTCCCGCTGCCAAGTCAGCTTCTGACCACCTCGAGCCTTGCGCCATCCTACACCCGGTGGACTGAACAAGGCCCTCCTAGGTAAGCGGTGATCAGGCATGCGTAGCACGTGCCCGAGCCAACGCAACTTATTCAGTGCTATCTGTTGTTCTAGGGAGCTATCATGATCATCACCACCTAGTACTCGCCTACGCACATCATCGTTGCGGAGACGCTGGTGCCATCCGACACCAGCAATGCTTCGCAAACAATGATGATCAAAGACTTGAAGGCGCCTCAGATCTTCAGACCGAAGGGGCCAAGTTTCACTACCATAGAGCAGAACGGCCCTCACTGTGGCCTTGTATACACGGCCTTTCAGACGGAGGGAAACTCCCTTCTGTCGCCAAAGATGACACAGGTTCAAGAAGGCAGCTCTGACCTTTGCAATGCGTGAGCTCAC